CAAAGAGGACAATCTGCTGATGGAGATGATCCGTGAGGCCCAAGAAGAGAAATTCAGTCACTGCCGTCTGATTCTTGTCTTCCATTTGATCATTTACATCCTGTATAAGAAATAAAAAATACAATTTATTTTTTTAAAATCAATCAGCACATACAAAATTATCTTTTACATGAATTACTAGTGTTTTTTATATGCATAGGAGAGTTATAAAAACTGTGTTGGACTGGTTGTCAGTGTTGCAGGGTTCTAGTTTCTGTCGGTTATGCACAGATCCCTTATAAAGTTGACAATTCATACTTGATTTTTTTTATTCACTACCCCCTAACATCAAAAGAGGGGTCCAACTATGAAATCTAAAGCTCCATATGATCTCACTTATATGTGGAATCTAATTAACAAAATAGACTGGTGAACAAAATAGGGCCAGAGACATGGATACATGGAACAGACTGACAGATCTCATAGGAGAGGGGGTTGGGGGAACTGGAAGAGATTAACCAAAGAACATACATGCATATATGCACAGCCCATGGACACAGCAGTGTGGGGGAAGAGGCCAGGTAGACCGAGGCTAAGGGGGGGAAATGGGGGACATCTGTAACAGTGTCAACAGTAAAAACTTTTAAAATGTTTTAGTTAACATAAATCACCTCATAAAGATACAATAAAAAAATGAAAAAAATTTTGTGATGAGAACTCTTAGGACTACTCTCTTAAAATAATTCCTATATATTATATATCAGTGTTAACTGTAGTCATTATGTGGTACATTACATTCATAGTACTTATTTATCTTACCTTTTGACTACCTTCCTCCAACTCACACTCTCCCTACCCCGTCTCTCATAACCAAAAATCTGATCTCCTTTTCTATGAGTTTGGTGGGTTTTTGTTTGTTTGCTTGTCTGTTTGTTTTTAGACTCCACATATAAGTGAAATCATAAAGCATTTGTCTTTCCCTGTCTGACTTATTTCACTTAGCATAATGCCTGCAAGATCTATCCATATTGTCACAAATAGTGTGAATTCCTAGTTTTCATGGATGAATAATATTCCATTGTGCATATATACTGCAATTTCTTCATTCATTCATTCATTCATTCACTGGTGGACACTTAGGATGTTTCCATGTCTTGGCTATTTTAAATCATGCTGTTATGAACATGGGGGTGTAGACATCATATCCAGCTAGTGTTTTTATTTCCTTTGAATATATTCCCAGAAGAGGGATTTCTGGATGGATCACATAGTAGTTCTATATTTAATTTTTTGAGAAACATCCATACTGTTTTCCATAGTGGCTGTACCAATTTAAAATCCCACCAGCAATGTGCTGGGTTCCCTGTTCTCCACATTCATGCCAACATTTGTTATCTTATGTGGGTTGTTTTTTTTTTGGTGGTTTTTTTTTGGATGATTGCCATTCTAACAGGTAATAACTCACTGTGGTTTTAATTTGCATTTTAATTTATTTTGAATGTCCACTGTAGTCATGCTGTCAACAGAGATGGTACAAGGCAATTCCTAACAGAGACTCCCAAATTATTTTATAACAATACCATAGGAAAAGAGGCAATAGGAGAAAAGGGTTCAAACCTTTCAGAGTCCTGAAGAGGATGGGATCAGAGAGGGGCCCCACTCCTTTCACATTTCGTGCTTGAATTCGAAAGTAATACATCGTGTCGAGGTTGAGATCCATAATTTGATGAGTAAGCCGATCACCACTGATTGTTTCCATAACCCAGTCATCAATTGGCATGTTCTTGTCCAAGGTATAAAACAAGATGTAAGCTGCATAAATAAATGAATGCAAACTTTGTTAGTGTGCGGACAGCCTGCTATACTATTGCTTCCAAACATCCATGTTCCCCAAATGTAATTTGCAATGATTATTATATAACCACAATCTATAAGCTATAGTATTTGGTTTGACAAGTAATGATTTTTTTCATATTACAAGGATTAAATAAATAATTGCTTCTTAGTACAAAATCTGAAAATGGAAGAAGCCATTAGAAATAAAAGTATCTATCATATTTAAAAATGTGAGGTTTCTGCTGCCTATAAATTCTGGTTATTGGTTTATTCTAATATATAGGTGTGATAAAAAATGCAAAACATAGATAACAAGCCTGCATAATTTTTGCTGTATTCCAATAATGAAAATAAGGAAAGCTTATTTTGGCTTATGCTTCAATAAAAATACACTGAAAAGTATAAAATGTCGTGTGTGTTTAAAGCGTTATAAAAATAAGTGATCATATGTGATTATTGTAAGAATTCTGTGAGGTTGGCAGGGGCACTGTCGCCTTCTTCACAGAAGGTAAAGCTGAGGATGACCCAAGCTAGGGGCCAAAAGGCTAGGATAATATCCTCTACTGTTAGGCTAAAAATCCAACACTATTTCCCCTAGTTGATCACACCTAGGAAAAAAAAAGACAAGGTATTTCTGGATATTGTAGGTTATCTAGTAACTATCTCAAATGTTAATTATCATTTGGTATCATTTACCCTCTGTGTTGGGGGATGTTACCTGAATATTAGTAGGGTACTCAGTGGTGATAGTCTAATATGCACCCAAATAAACCCAGGTACCCCTGTAAAATATTCATATTCTAACATTATATTTAGCCAATATGTAGGCTAGCTTTTATTTCAAAGCATTAATTCATGATTTTGTGTTACGCTGTCAGATGACTGTCAAAGAGCTCATTACAGGTGCCTTTGCTATAGGAGTGTAGCACCAGCCTCCATTTCTGTCAAAATTCTGCACTGATGGCTGCATCAGATAGGCCACAAGTGCCCCTAAGTTCTCTTCTTAAACACGGAATACATTCTGTGTAAATCACATTTTAAAAACAGTGGGCTTTCTCTGATTCACCGATTCCTTCCTTTTGAGTCCTGCTTGTCCTGTTTGGACCGGGGACCCTCACCCATAGATCTCGCCATGGTTATGCCACGAGGTTCTCTGACTCAGGTTAATTCCTCTCCCAAAATGACCACGCAGGCGGCCTGCCCAGCAGCACAAACCCCCGCTTTAGGAAGAGCACAGGGGGGTCTCCCTACTATGCTTATTCCCACCCACCCCGTAATCATTCTCTCCGTCCAAATCCCCACCCACCAAGGTCTGATTCAAGCTACATATAACATATAAAACCTTCCCCTTGAGTGAGAATTTTTTTTCTGTAGACTTGGCAATACACTTCAATAAAGTAAAAGAACATTTATATAATTTTTTCATCATTCATCACTTAATGCCATAGTAACTTACAGAATTATGCTTGGGTTTGGGGGATGTGTTCTAGACAATGAGCTGGATCTTTCTTCCTTGTGATCCTGTAGGGTTAAGCACTGTTGCCAACTCCAAGATCCAGAAGTCCATTTCTCTTAAATTCAGATCAGTGATAAAAACCTGTTTCTCTTTTGCGTTAGCTTTCACCTTTTACCAAATTTAGTGTTTCCCAAATCTGCCTAGTTATAAGAAACACCTGGTGACTGGGTACAAGTTATAAAACATAGGTCCCAAGAGAGGGCATTTTGATTTAATAGGTGTGACAGACAGAGTCTTTGATAGCCCACCAGTGACTCCCAGCTCCTCGTAGTCACATTTTTATGTAATCCTTTCTGTCTGAGAGTAGACGGGAAGACCTTGGTGGGAAGACCTAAGTCTTTCTTTTAACCATTAGAACACAGCAAATGTGATGAAGCATCACTTCCATGATTACGTTACAAGAGATTATGATTTCTGTCTTGCAAGTAGACTCTATAGACTCTCTCCTGTGTTGGCTTTGATGAAATAAGCTGCCAGATGGAGAGGGCCATATGGCAAGGAATTGAGGATAGGTTCTGATCAACAGCCAGTAAGAAACTGAATCCTGCCAACAACCACATAAATTGGAAGCAAATATTTCCCTAGTCAAGCCTCAGATGAGACATCTGTCTAGTCAGAACCTTGATTGCTGCCTTGTAAGAGACCCTGAAGCACAGTACTCAGCTACGCTGTGCTTGGATTTCTGGCCAACAGAAACGGTGAGATAATGAATGTGTGTTGTTTTACGGTGCTAAGTTTGTGGTGATACTGTAATAGGTAATACAATACATTAAATGTAACCCCAGTAATCTGTACTCCAGATGATCAGTGTTTAAGCAAGGTCATGAATCACTGCTTTAGTTGATATGTGGAATCTGTATATACGTTTGGCACTTGTTGATGCTGCAGATATGAATGTCTTAAGATGCAGAGAGCTTAGGAGAAGATAAAAGACCAAGATAAAGAATTCTGCAAAACTTACAAAGGTTGTAGGACTCCTCCTCTCTCTGGTTAATATTAAAATTGGAGGACTATAACTCAAAAGGGATTGTAAAGTATCATGGGATAAAACAGTTGTTTCTGACTCATGAGTATCCATTCATTTATAACTCAGCCCCCATGATCGGCATCAATAAAATCTCCTGATATTCTTTGAGCCAGAGCAGTCTCCATTCTTGCCCCCAGAGAATTATACCTATTGAACAGAAGACCTGGTATTCATAACAGTTTTTTTGTTTTGTTTAGCTTTTATTATGTGCATGTCTTATCTCTTCAAGAGAATAAAAACATTTCTTTAGTTCAGGAGCCATATCTTATATTACATTTTATTCTTAAAAAAACACACTAATAAAAGTCTTTACATAATAGGTATCAAAACTCACTTATTGAATGAAATCCATCAGCCAAGAAGCATATAAGTTTTACATTCATGACATTTAATGAAATTGTTAAAGTTTTCATGGGCTGTTTTAAGTGCACGATGAACCTAAAAGTTTGGAGAATTGTGTTTCCATCATAGTCAGCTACATTTTTTTCTTAATTTTCTTCAGTTATCAAATAAGAATAAAATATTAGCCTTCGCTGTGCTTTTTTTTCTATGTAAAAAAGTACTAAATTTAGCATTTAGAATGGAATTCTAGAATCAAGTAAGGTTGAAGATGCAAGCATCAGGTTCTGACCATTTCATATTGTATTTGAGCTATTTCCTGTTACTGGTGGGGAACCCTTTTGTTTTTTTTTTTGGAAATTTGAGAACTGAGATGGGGAATCAAAACACATTACATAATTCAAAACTAAAAATCGGCCTTAGAGAAAGCATACAATTTCACTTAAATATGTGAGTTTGGTGTGTTTGAAGAATATTAAATCCATTATTAAAGTCTTACTTTATAGATTTCCATATAACCACATAGGTGGGCATGAATCCCTTGGTTTCTCACTACTTTTCTGTATCTCTATATTCATTTCTCTGTGTCCAAGTCTCTGTTTTTCTTCATAATTTTCTCTTATTTCTTTCGACTTCATTTTTTGTCTCTTACCCACCACAGTTGGTCATATAATGAAGTATTATATCTTGTCATAGGTTGTAAGACCTGGGATTGCTAATTGAGTACCTAAGCTCCCGCACATTGGAATAACATGTGTCTAACTACATATAAAATGTAACATCATACATGTAATTTTGACTCTACTTATACACATGGGTAATTGTAATTCCAGAAGCAAAGGGTCAAAGTGTTCAATGTCACCTCTCTCCTCTCTCGGGTCCTCTTTCATACTTCTTGCCACTCTTTACTGATCCCCTTCCATGGCTCAGGTCGACTGCGAAGCACAGGGAAGACCAAGATGACCCCTACCAACACGGAGGCCAGCCCAGTCATATCATTTTTGCTTTAAACAAAATGATTCCACTATGGAAAATAGTGTGGAGTTTCCTCAAAAATGGAACTGCCATTTGACCTAGTGATCCCACTTCTAGGAGTATATCCTAAGAAGCCTGATAGAATATATGTGCCCCTATGTTCATTGCAGCACAATTTACAATAACTAAGATCTGGAAACAGCCCAAGTGCCCATCAGTAGATGAGTGGATAAGAATTGGTACATTTACCCCTGGAATACTATGCAGCTGTAAGAAAGGATCTGTTACCCTTTGGGACAGCATGGAGGGACCTGGAGAGTATTATGCTGAGTGAAATAAGCCAGTCAGAGAAAGACAAATATTACATGATCTCACTTATATGTGGAATCTAATGAACAAAATAAACTGACACACAAAATAGGTCCAGAGACATGGAAGCATGAAACAGGCTGATGAATCTCAGAGGGAAGGGGGAGTGGGGCAGGAAGAGATTAACTAAAGAACTTATATGCTTATATGCATAACCCAGGGACAGAGACAATAGTAAAGAGGGGGCAGGAGTGGGAAGGAGGGGTCAGTGGTGAAAAAAGGGGGACAGCTGCAATACTTTCAACAATAAAGATAAATTAAAAAAATAAAATCTGAAAAAAAATGACACTAATAACTGTGTATATAAATAGATACATAAGGAAGGAAGGGCCCATTTCTTCCTTCTTTTTGGTAAAAAATAATAGGCAATGAATTCAGGGATACCTGACCTCAAGTCACAACTCTAACACTAACTAGCTTTGTAAACTTGAACAACTTGCTTAATCTAAGTATGTCTCAATTCTGTCACCTGAGAATAAGTTGCTGTGAGATAATGCATTTTAAGAACCTAAAATATGTGGGGATTTCTATTAAATTACCTTCTACATAGTAACTACTTAGTAAATGCTCCAGGATTCCTTCCTTCCTTCCTTCCTTCCTTCCTTCCTTCCTTCCCTCCCTCCCTCCCTCTTTCTCTCTTTCTTAATATTAATAAGTCTTAAGGAAGGTGCATATTTGGAAGAGCTCACTTGTTGGTTTCAAGTGAAGCAATATATTTAATAGCAACTCAATGATTATTCTACCCAGTAA